AAAGAAAAAAAAAGGAAAAAAAAGCAAACCTTTTTTATGCCTTATTACATTGCAAAGTCTACAAATAAAACAAGCTTATGTAAGAAAAAGGAAAAATATTATACATTTAGAAATATTTTATAAAAACACTCTTACCTCCAGTGCTTATTTCTACCTCTGTAGAATCTCTTTCCAAACTCCCAGCACTGCTAACAATATTCATTAAATGGATCGCAGTCCAAGCAAAGGGCATGCGATATTTCCCAAGTCTTTGGCAAAACTGATCAGCTTGACTTTTCAGCTTCTCCAATTTTTCCTTATTCTGCAAAACAAAACTTTATACATTATATAATTATGCTCAAAAAAGATGAATTAAAGGCTATTTCATAATAAATAGGTTAAGAATTCTCAGTTCTCAGCAAAGATGGAAAAACAATCTGTGCCTTTCAGAGATCAATTAACAGTGTACTGTCTTAACCAGTGAACCACCTCAACCTGCTCTACAAATATATGTATAGAGTAAGTCTGAAATTTTTGTGATTATCTCATCTTTAGAAAAAAGAAAGGAGAGCAAATGTCAAACATGTTTATGTATTGCAAGTATTATTTTATGAAAGGAAACATAACCATGTTCTGGCCAGCAACTACAAACTACAAAATATTCTAGGTTATGACTTGTTAAATTTTAATATTCTAAAAAAGATGGAAGCAGTTGAGTCCATTTGAAATAATCCATAACTTAGGGCAATCATGAAATGGGAGTAAGAGGCACAAATAGGCCAATAATAAGCCCAGAGTTGTAATAAAAGCAGAAAACAAAAACAAAAACAAAAAGTATTACAAGAGGACTAAACCCTGAAAAAAAACTAATGGTGTAAACAGTATATGCCTATAAGACATCCTAAGGCTGGCTCAATTTTAGGTTATTCCTGAAACAAACACTAAGGTGGCCTGCAATAGACAATCAATGTTCCAACAGTGTAAACCTACACCAAATATCTTACATACTCTTTCCATACAGTATGTTGATGAGGTATATTCTAATGACAGTGTCTTATGTTAGGGCTTAGAGCTGGGAAAAGACGGAAGGCTAGCTAAATGGTAGCACTGTTTATTGCTATGTCTATTATACTTCAAAATAGGTTCTTCCTTTAACAGCCTAGCTATCAAGTGTACTTAATTTTATCAGTTTATGCAAATACATTAAGAGAAGAGTGGAATAAGCTGTTGTTATGCCTATGAGCTCCATAAAGCAGAGCAAATTTAATTTGAAATATGACAACCAGATAACCAGCAATCAGAGAAGAATGTCATGTGCTCAGATCTACCTGTATTAGCAGAAAAGGCTTAGTTCTTGTTCTGATTCTCAGGAAAAAAGAAAGCAAATATTTTCTACATTTTGGTGACTGGTCCAGTATTGCTCAAGCATACCACTCCTAGCTAATCCAAGTATTAAATCATGTGTTCAAGATCCAAGATCAACTGTTATTCTTGTAGCTAACTTAGGGTAGCTGAAATTTGGTACCTACTGTTGACCATTTTTGTTTTATAAGTTTAGTGAAAGTCTAGAAATTAGTCATTTGATAGCAATACATAGATTGTATTTTCTATTTTTACCATATTCCTTAATTATCTGCAGCTAGAGAGAAGCCTAGAATGCTTGTTTTGCTAGGAAAAGTTCCATCAATACCACTATTTTGTATATACAGGAAAAATGTAATTATTTAGAAATTAAACTAAATTAACTTACTTCTGTCCAAAAACAAAAAAACAACAACAATGAATTAGTTTGGGGGTGACGGAGAGTTTAAAGAATAGCACAGCACATGACACAAGCTAGGTGACAAAGGAAATACAGAAGAACGTTAGAAATTGGTTAGGCCAATAAAAAAATGAATTAGTAGTCAAATCTTTAATATGCTCTGTATATTATTCTCCCAAATTACAATTTGGGAGATTAGAGGTTATTCAGGGTTGGGTTTAGGGATTTGGGAAGACTGGAGAATGACTGCTAGAAAATACAAAAGTGAGGGAAATGAGAGGCATGACATTCTACCTTGGTGGCATCTGCTTCTTTGAAAATCATATATGGTTCTGCACACTCTCCAATGTCTCCTTGTTGTAGGACTTTTTCTAGCTGTCAAAGACAAAACAGTAAAGATTAAGCTTAAAAAAATCAATCAGCCTGGAATGCAAGGACAATTCAATATAAAAAATTAATCAGTATGGGCCAGCCAAGTGGTGCGTTGGTTGGAGTTGGCTTGGGACGCCAGCTCTGAGCAGCAGGGCCCCGGTTCGGATCCCATATGAGGACCAGTGACACTGTGCCCTCTGCAGCTAGGATGGTGAGCAACAGCTCGCTGGACCTGGAGCTGGGCAGCCGTGAGTTGCCGGCGACGGCGTGGGCTGTGGTGGGACTGGCCAGCAGCGGGCATGAGCTTTTGTGGGCTGCCGTGGGCCACCATGAGCGGCCATCCAATGGCTAGTGAGCAACTGCCTCACCTGGGAAGAGCACAATGATAGTGCCAACATGGGCCAGTGAAGCGATGTCCTCCACAACTAGACTGAAGAACAAAAGGACAGCGGCTTGTTGTTCCCCTTCCCTGATTCCCCAATGCTGTTCCCTCCCCAAATTCCCCAATAAAATCTTAAAAAAATAATCAATAAAATACACATTAACAGAAAAATAGAAAACAAAAAACACATGATCATCAATAAGAAATACACATTAACAGAATAACACAAAACAAAAAACAGAAAACACATGATCATCTCAATTAATACAAAAAAAAAGCACTGGGCAAAATTCAATAA